ACAGCTTCTAACCCAGTGGTTCTCAACCTTCCTAATGCCGCGACCCTTTAATACAGTTCCTCATGTTGTGGTGACCCCCAATTTCATCGTTACAAATTGAACATAATTAAAGCATAGTGATTAATCACAAAAACAATATGTAATCATATATGTGTTTTCCCATGGTCTTAGGCAACCCCGGTGAAAGGGGTCATTCGACCCCCAAAGGGGTCGCGCCCCACAGGTTGAGAACCGCTGTTCTAGCCTGCCTTTCTGGTCAGAGGTGTAAGAGCCTCAGGGTCCTTGGGACACTGGGAAAAGGACTCGGCCACAGGGACTGAGCCACTCGCTGCTCAGAGGCACTCGGACTGTGAGAGGACAGCATACAGCAGGTTCTCTCTGCAGTCCCTCCGCCCCCAGCACTGAAGCCATCCCGGTACCACCTGGAGCCAGAGTCTACACTGGCTCCCGATCGCCCAAGACACGTAACTTGAACCCGATTTTCCCGCCTAGAAAGGGGGCAGCCCTCACCAGCATGAGGGGAGCAACCTGGAAACATGCTGAGGCCCAGAGACCACGCCTGCCTCTCCTGGGAGAGACCCTCCCTCCCCGCGTGTGGCCTAAATAACTAACGGGCTTTCCTTTCCTCTCCCAGGCCAGTCAGTGACTAGAAGGAGAGCGCCTCCTTGCACTCAGGCCGAGGGAGATGCCGTGGGAGCCAAGCAGGGGGGCCTTTAGGGGTCTCCAGAGAGTTTTCAGCCCCCCCCCACCCCGAGTCACTTGGAATCCCTCCAGGAGCTCGGAACACTGGCCCAGGCAGCCGATCCCCACTCTACAAACGGGGTGACTGGTGCCCAGAGTCAGGGGCTGGTGGGAGGTGACAGGAGGAGAGAGAGGGTCACTCTGCTGGCTGAGCATGTGCTCGAGTTAGGGGTGTCCATTCTCACCTCACCCCCCGAGGCAGGGCCAGTGCCCACCCAGCAGAAGCTCAGAGAGGGTCAGTGACTTGCCCAGAGCCCCAGACAGGGAGGGGCAGTGTGGAGACTCGAACCCTGGGCTCTGGGGGACGGCTGAGGGTGCAGCGGCCGCTCTCTGGTGCTGGGAACTGTAAAGTGTCTTTGCTGGAAACGTTCCCAAACACCAGGGGACTGACAGCCCAGAGGCAGGGTTCTCTTCCTGCGGAGCTCTGCGGACGGGAGAGCGGGCGGGGCCAGTCAGAGGCAGGAAAAGACCATCAACAGACCCAGGATGCTTGGAGCCAGCACTTCCGGCCCCCATCCAGGCAGTGCCAACTCAGACACCGTCCCCAGGCCCAGCGAGGGACCGCCAGGGCCCCATCCTACAGATGAGGAAACCAGGCCTCGGAGGGGGAGTGACCGGCCACACCCCACCTCACTGAAGGGCAGAGCCAGGCCAGGACCGGGGCGAGTGTAAGGGCAGCACCTTCCCTGGACGTGTGTGGGGCTGGCAGTTGGGGGTGCAGCTGGGTTTCTGCTATAAATACGATGCTGACTCGGTAACCTTAGCCTGCAGGCTCCCGGCCCAGGCCTGGGGTCACACATCCTGCAGCCGACCGCCACACTGAGCTCTGCTCCGTGGGATGCTCCTGACGCCCTAACAAGGTGCCACGCTTTTTGTGTACCGCCCGCCCCCCCCGCCCACACACACACATTTTGTTATAGGCTCCACGTTATTGGGAGACAATGTCGAGCTGCCATCTCTGAAATGAGGAGGCCTGAGAGCCAAATACGCCTCTGAGACCACCTTCCCCCTTGGGTGAGAGCAGGGCGCCACCCCACCCCCCCAGAAGGGGCACCGAATCTGAGTTCTGCACAAACACGGTCTGTGGAGCTGGGTTCGAATCCCAGCCTTACCGTTCACCAGCGGGGTGACATTGGGCGATGTGTTTGCCTCTCTGAGCTTCGGTTTCCCTGGCTATACTGTGGGGTTCCCGCCATGCCCACTCTGGGGATGGAACGCTGTGTCCAAAACGGCCAGGACACGGACACAGCAGATGATCCGCTCCCTGCATGTGCGCGGCGACTGCAGCTCACTCACTGGTGGAACAACGACACCTACCACTGCTCACAGAAAGCCTGGCAATATTTGAACAGCTTTCCATGCTTTCAGTCCCTTAATCCTCCCTGGAACTTGAGGAGCTAATGTCCCATTATTGTCCCCATTAACAGATGAGGAAACTGAGGCACAGTGCGCTTGAGTAATCTGCCCAAGGTCACTCAGGTGGAGAGCTGAGAATTTTTTGGCTGTTGACACAGGCCCAGGGACTGGCTCCTGGAAATAGGCACCACTATGTCCCAGCAGCCTCCTCGGCCCTATGGCTTCTGCTTTCCCCCCCACACACACACACACACACACACAGCCCTGTACCCGGGCGCTGTCCTTACACCTACCAACCAGGTCCTACCACAAGCCCCACACAGCGGAGACCAAAGGCCATCACACAGCATTTTACAGGCGGACGGGCCCCTGCTCAGCCAGGGCAGGCAGAGCCAGGACGGTGCCCGCAGGCCCCCAACCCAGGTGACCCTCTTCTAAAACGGTGAAGGGGCACGCAGGCTGCCTCCCCCAGCCTCCTGGACACACAGGCACCGTCAGACACATGCGCGCACACAAACACACACGCTCAGGGCTCCGTCCACAGCCTGGCCGGCTAAATATTATCCCGGCCTCTTCCTGAAATACACATGTCCAGGGGCGGCTTTACAA